CGCCTCGGCTTGCGCTCGGATTTGGGCTCGGGCTCGGGCTCGGTTTGGGTTTGGGTTTGGATTTGGATTCAGGTTTGGGCTTGGATTTAGATTTGGGCGTGGGTTTGAGTTTGGATTTGGATTTAATCTTGGATTTGGATTGGGATTTGGATTTCATCTTGGGTTTAGGCTTGGATTTGGATGTGAGTTTACATTTAGATTTGGTCTTGGATTTGGATTTGAGTTTAGGCTTGGATTTGGGCGTGGGTTTAGGTTTGGATTTGGGCATGAGTTTGGGTTTGGATTTAGATTCAAGTTTGGGCTTGGATTTAGACTTGGGCATAGGTTTGAGTTTGGATTTGGACTTGGATTTCAGCTTGGATTTGGATTTGGGCTTGGATTCAGGTTTGGGTTTGATCTTGGGCTTGGATTTAGACTTGGTTTTGGGTTTAGGTTTGGGCTTAAATTTGAGTTTGGATTCAGACTTGGATTTGGGTTTGGTCTTCGGTGGAAGCTTGTCCTGGGTTTGGACTTGGGCACATCCCTGCTGTTGCGAAGTCCTTGGAGGAAAGGGGCACCCGTCACTGTGGAGCCTGGGGGTGAGGGGCGCGGCCCCTGAATCGGACCCTGCTGGACCCGAAATGCTGGAGGCCTACAGCAACTGGAAGATGAGCAAGCACTGTTGAAAATGTATCGTGGAGGGCAATCTCCTCTGCCCATCTTACTGACCTACTTATCGTTACACAGAGATACGCATTATTGGCTGGCTCCCACCACAGTCACATGAAAGTATTCTGAATATCTCTGCCAGCCCCGTTGTGATCTCACGCTGATACCATCAGGAGCTTCTTCACAGGCAGCAATGTTTCTGGACTACTAAAAAACTGGTGAAGGGAGGAGGAGAAGCGGGGCCCACTTGCTGCTGTGGGAGTACACAAGCGAGCAAAGCCTGTGGGAGAAGAAAGCACACGTTCTGACACAAATATACACGTGGCAGGGTGGAGGCGGGTGTTAAAAGGAGGAAAAGCAATAGATTAAAACAATTCAGGCTCCTAAACGCTGCTTGGCAAGCAGGGCTTCATGTCCGGGCTGAGCCCGCAGCCCATGCTGATCAGCTTGCAGAGTCGGTGCCTATGTGGATGAGAGAGAGGCAGGGAAAAATAGGTAGATGATTTAGTTTCTTGGGCCCAGATCCTGCATCTGAATCCATGCGGGCTGCCCCGGCACCTGTGTGATGTCCCTGGGAAACTGGTGGCTATGAAGGATGTTAGCTACCCTTGGGATGTCAAGCCCAATCCAAGATCAAACCCAAACCTAAATCCAAGCCCAAGCTCAAATCCAAGTCCAAACCCAAGCCCAAGCCTAAATCCAAGCTCTTCCTCAAGTGTCCAAGCTCCCCCTTGCTGGACTTGGATTAACTTTCCCGTTTTTAAAGTTTCTCTCCAAATTTCCTTATCCCCTCATTTCCAAGGGCAT